GAGTTGTAAATGCAGTAAATGTAAATGCTGTGCAAATAGTTGCTGGTGTGCAGCAAATTCAAGTTCCGCCTTTTGGAATTTTCCTGATTTTTTTTTTTTTTGATACTTCAATCTGCGGTTGGTTGAAGTCATGGCTATGGAACCCACAGACATGGAGGCCCAACTGTAGCTAAGTCAGAGGGTCATTAATTTTGTTCTTTTATCAGTTCACCTGTTTCTTCTAGGTAGCTGTCATTCCTTTATTCATTTATTCACAAAATTTATTGTGTGCTTAGTATGTTGAGAAGTTACTGAGATAAGGGCTACGGGCATGATGTTTATGGGAAACTCAGCTGCAGGAGCGCCGCATTGCGTGAGGCCACAAGAGGAGTCCGGAGAAAGTGGTGGTAGGGTTCCCAGACGTGAAAACAGTTTCCCTGCTGGGCAGAAGTGACGGTGGCGGGAGCTGAAGAGGGTGAACTGAAGGGGAGGCAGAAGTCTGCCTTTTCTAATCATAATTAAAAGAATTAAATTAATAAATATGATTTGGATGGGAGAAGGGAATCCCATTTACTTGTGCAAAAGTGATGGAGACCACACAAAGCGCAGAGCGGTAGGTTAAAAACAGGTTAAAAAATAAAACCACCAGCACGCCAGTCCGTACGCAGCAGGGCTGACACCGTGGTGGGAGAAAAGCTCGCAGCCGCAGCCGTCCTGGACGAGACAGAGCCCTGAAGGGCGTAACAGAAAGAAAGGGGCAAGAACCCGTGAAACGCTTGTCGGGTAAGGACGTGTGTCTTTAGGAAGACGCAACGTTGTGAAGAGGTTGATTCTCCCTGAGTTATTTCTAAGCTGCAAGACGTGGTCAGGCCCGGTGAAAACAGCAGTAAGACTTTGGAGGGGGCGAGGCTTGACAACATCCTGGTAAAATTCATCCAGAAAAAAACACGTGAGTCAGCAATTCCCAAGCGCTGCTGCCTGTTAAATCACCTGGGAGCGTATGTGCTGCAAAGTCTGAAAATGCTGGCCTGAGAGCGCTCGAGACGCCCCTGCAACTGCTAGGCAATGGGCGTGAGCTCTGCCACGTAGCCCAGAACGTGAGAAAATAACCACGGTTGGAACACCTTGGCGCCGGCACGGAGGTAAGTGATGGACGAAACAGCCTGAAAACAGATCGGTGTCCGTGGGGGATGTCGAACGTAAATTAAGAAGGATCAAGGAAAGACAAGCTCGTTAACAACCTGGTGCAACTGGCTAATGATTTTTGAGGAAACTGGATTGAACCCCCATCCCACTCCTTCTGATCAGTTCTGAATAACCCCCACTCCCTCCACTCCCACCCTCTCTGGCCCATGTTCCTCACAACCTCCAGAGTAATCTGAAAACCCGTGGTCACACCCACCTCACTCCTCTAAGCCCTTCAGTGGTTTTCACCGCATCAGAGTCAAGTCCAGACAGACTCCTGCTCGTATTCCGGGCCCTGGCAAGTTGGTCCAGCCTCTCTCCACCTGCTGCCCGCCCCTCTCCCTCCACCCCCTCCGCTTCCCTGGCTCCACCACCCTGCTCTGTGGGTCCCCAACACCCCAAACCTCTCCAGACCAGGGACTGTGTCCTCTTCCTGCTGCCCTGTCCTCGCCAGGCCAGCTTCCTCCAGCCCGCGGGTCCCACGTCCAGCGGCACCTCCACCGGGGGCCTTTGCTGGCCTGACTCTCGAGGTCGTGGTCACCCTAGCTCTCCACCACTGCATCCATCAGACGTCCTCCCTACCCCCAGGGCAGCTCTTCCCATACTGATCATGATCGTAAGTGTTCATTTCTTCCTTCCTTTCCCCTCTCCTAAGCTTGTCAGTCTGGTCACTGCTATAGCCTTGGGACCCAGTGCATAGCAGGCACTCGTGAATATTCATAAGATAGTAGCTGACATGTAAGAGAGTGAGCAGGTGTCTCGTTCCAGCAGCAGAACCCTGCAGTGGCTGATGCCCGGAGCCGTAGTCTCAGGCTGGGCGAGACCGCTGATGAGTCGTGCTGGGCCCTGGCCAGCTGGGGTGGCTTCCTTCCTCTGTCAGGAGCCGTATCCCCAGCGCAAGGACCGGGGTCCGAGGCTGAACTTCCTGCCGAGGCTCTGGCATCCCAGCTGGGCATCATGCTCAGCCACCCTTCCCAGTGCCAAGGCCGTTCTTGGTGGAGACAAAATTCTGTGTTCTGGCTCAAGTCTGATCTCTCCCACATCTGATGAATGGGATCAGCTAAGACGGGTATACATGCTGCAGCTAGAAAACGCCTTAAATGCCATCTCCCAGTGACTGTAAAATAGCCCTGCCTTTTTATTTTGCAGATGAGGAAAACTGGGCCCAGAGAGATTTAGTGGGCCCAGCGGTGAGTAGCAGCGGTGGGGCCCCCCCGTCACCCCACCTTGGTGTGCAGTTTCGAGCCTCTGCTGGGATATGCGGATAAGGCGACTCTCCTGCATGTTTAAGAAAAGTCACTTTGAAAACAACTCATCTTGAGACCTTGAACTCACTATCACTGTCCGCTCACCTTGCACATCTTCTGCAGGCAGCAGGCAGTCTGGTCGTGTTGGCTTCTTTTTAGAAGTCTTCAAAATAATTGATTTGGGGAGGAGGCTCGAACCCAAGGGAGAATTGTCTGCAGAAGGCAGACGCAGAGAGGTGAGCTTCCAGGTGACAGAGCTGGGCCTGGGCCGTCTCCTCCAGTGTGACGTTTGTGACCGAATCCAGCCTCGTGTTACGAGGCACCCGGAGCCAGCCAGCCGGTGAGGACGGGGCCGGGCTCTGCGTCCAGGCAGGGCCGACACAGCCAGCGGGGCCCTCTGGACGGACAAGACCATCTTGCTTGCCCCAGCGCTCCTCTCCTGCGCCCCTTCTGACCAGACGAGTGGTTCACAGCGGAGAGTTATCCAAGGTCGTGACGCCTGGAGCAAGATGGCCTTTGCCCCCACCTTTTTATCGTAGTTATTTTTGGTGGAAGAATAGAGGCATTTGTATATTCTACACGTCACACGAAATAACATGAAGCAGGTGCCAGTGAGCAGCCCAGAGCTTGTGAGACACTGTTTTCCCTGAACATCCGTCTTTCCAAAGACTTTTTTATTTTATTTAGTTACTGTGGCTTTTTCACCTACGAACTTTAAGAAACCAGAGCAGATACCACTATTTTTTAACTGTAATCATTTCCAGTTTTGAGCTATAATTTGCATATAACATTGTGTAAGTTTAAGGTGTATAACATAACGTTTTCCTTTTCTTGCAGTTGAAGTAGAGTCGGTTTACAATGTTACCAGTTTCTGGTGCACAGAACAGTGCTTCAGTCATCTAAGAACAGACATGTATTCCTTTTCATACTCTTTTTCACTATAGGTGACTACAAGATATTGGATATAGTTCCCTGTGCTGTACGGTAGGAACTTGTTGTTTATCTGTTTTATGCGTAGTAGTTAGTGTCTGCAAATCCCAGACTCCCGATTTATCCCTTCCCACCCGCTTTCCCCCGGTAGGCATGTTTATTTTCTATGTCTGTGAGTTGGTTTCTGTTTTACAGATGAGCTCATTTGTGTCTTTTTTTAGATGCCACAGATGAGTGATACCGTTTTTCCCCATTTGTATCACTTCGGTTCGCTGTGGTGCGTGGGGTCACGGCCAGGGGAGCTGTTCACTCCACATTACGCAGTTATCCTGGTCATTGGCTGACGTTGCTCTGAACGTTTTATCTCCGTTCCCAGTCCTGAGCC